CGGGTACTAGTACAGCAGCTTATCTTAGCTCCCCCCCCCCCCTCTCTCTCTCTCTCTCTCTAAGCTTGCCGGGCTCAGCGGCCCATTCATTTCTGGGGCTTCCGTAATGCGTATCTGGTAACATTAACCCAGGCAGAAATCCGTGTAATCCACAAATATATCAATGGTGCAATGCAAGCGAAAGTTACAGTTGATCTATGGTATGGTCGTGACAGGAAAACCAATGACGTGAACTATAATCAAAGGGCCGGATGTCGTTAGAGAAGCTGGGTAGAAGCTCGATGGAAGCAGTGTAGAATATGACCTTGCGTTTACAGGCTGGATAACAGTGCAACAAACATCAATGATTGTTGAAGTTTGGGGACAGTGTGATGTGAGATATAAACCTATAAGTGGCGATTGCAGTTTATAGAAGGAAACAACTAGAAATCAAGGGTTACACTTGTCTTCTTCTTCTTCTTCTCTTCTTCTTCTTCTTCTTCTTCTTCTTCTTCTTCTTCTTCTTCTTCTTCTTCTTCTTCTTTTTCTTCTTCTTCTTCTTCGTCTACTTATCCTCCTCTTTCTTCTTCATCACTATCTTCTTTTTCTTTTTCTTCTTCTTCTTCTTTTTCTTCTTCTTCTTCTTCTTCTTCTTCTTCTTCTTCTTCTTCTTCTTCTTCTTCTTCTTCTTCTTCTTCTTCTTCTTCTTCTTCTTCTTCTTCTTCTTCTTCTTCTTCTTCTTCTTCTTCTTCTTCTTCTTCTTCTTTTTTCTTTTTCTTCTTTCTTCTTCTTCTTCTCTTCTTTCTTCTTCTTCTTCTTCTTCTTCTTCTTCTTCTTCTTCTTCTTCTTCTTCTGCTTCTTCTTCTCTTTTTTTTTTTCTTCTTCTTCTTCTTCTTCTTCTTCTTCTTCTTCTTCTTCTTCTTCTTCTTCTTCTTCTTCTTCTTCTTCTTCTTCTTCTTCTTCTTCTTCTTCTTCTTCTTCGGTAATTTAAATAAAACAGTTTGTTCTGCTATCACTTCTCTCTTCTACAACTAATGATAAAATCTAAAAAAAAAAAAAAAACCTGCAGTGCACGTGATATCCCACCCAGTCGTCCATATTGAATTTCAATCGATAAGATAGTTCCACAATTGTCGCTATATTATTTACTGTTTCCATAGCGACAGCACAGACTAGAATTGTTGTAATATATGCAGTGAAACCATAGCAGCGCTTTTGTGAACACCACAACGCCAGTTATGAAATGCGATTTAGCAGTTTCATATTAATCACATTTCCCCCCCCCCCCTCTTTTTTTTTCTCCTTTTCTGTTGCTTGTTGTAAGTTTGAAATAAAATAACACTTAGGTGTGCAACCTTTGCTGCATACATTAGAACTGACAAGCATTGTTCACATAATATTTGCCGTGTGCACCAGCGGTATTGTACATCAGTTTGTTGTGTCGATTAGAACATACAATAATTTGTCACTTTTTACATGCTTTATTTACGTTTATTTGTGGTGTACATGAGAACTAACAAGGATTTATCACATTCGTTTTGCTGCGCACACACGCTGTATTGTGCATCAATTTGTTGTGTACATAAGAACTAAAAAGAATTTATCACATTCATTTTGCTGTGTACATAAACTCTCCTGTTCGCCATGTGTGTACATTAGAACTAACACCAATTATCACATTCTTTTTGCGTATACCCAAGCTGTATTGTACACATTTAACCATCTTTGATTATCTGTTGATATTAGATGCATGCTTTACATGTCTGTAGATTCCGATGTTTCATTTTTAATTTTTTTTGTGTGTGGACATTTCAGTTTGAGCTCTCATCTGGCATACCGAAGGTACTGGGTTCAAATCCGCTTTGAATTGGATTTATTTTGTAATGCCAAGGGCTGCTAGGTAGAAAATGGTATCAGCAAATATTCTGGGAGGTAAAGACGGCACATAAAATTTAGGGCACTCGTCAAATACCCATTAGTCATAAAACAATGGTGTCGAACGTCTGATGTCCCGATAGCTCGTGAAGGACCTTTTTTAAACTATAATCACGGCCTAAGAAAATGAGTTTCTTTAGCCAACTCTAATCGCTTTCATTTAATCTATTTATTTAAAAGAGTTTTACAGGTGCACCAATTATAATTTATTTAAAGTTGACCTGGGTATTTGGGGTTTTTACTGTTGGTTTGCTATCGAGGTTGCGATTATTTTAATCTCGTAGTAGTCAAACATTCAGGTGTGTATCTTTAGGGGGGGTGGGGGGTGGGTTGGGGGAGGGGGGAGGGGATTCCGGTGGACGGGGAGGTGAGGAGGGGACGCTGGCGGTGGATAGGACACACATTGAGAGGATATAAGAACGATGTCACTGGGGTGTTTTGCCCGCGGGGGGCGTGGAAACATGGGAGGACCTGGGAACACATGAAAAGGGGAGCTGGGTGAGTGAGTGTGAGGAGATGGAGAGGATATGAGGAGAGCTGCATGCGATGGCGAAGGATATAACGACATGGCATGAGTTGGTTGAAGGCCTATGAGAGAGGCAAGAAACCAACAGTCTGTATACGGATAAGCTAAATCTGTAAAACGAATGTGCACGCAACGCTCAGGTTCTAAAACAAGACTGAAATTTAGATTTAGACGAACATTCAGAACTCTCCTGTGGTGTTTGCAGCCAGTGAACGCGAAAAAGAAGAAGAAACAAAGGTCAGGTAAGGCAGCAGATTACTTCGTATTGCTGAGGGGTTCCCCAAAATAATTGCTGCCTATAGCTGGTCGGAGTCTCTGTGATGTACTACTGTTGCCACTGGAAGGCAGCTACTGGAAGGCAGCTAGAAAGGGCACTGGTCTCACCGGCCATAGCTTGCTTTAGGTATAAACTAAGTAAGCTACAGCTAAGGGTTTCACAATCTGCAGGGGCCTCATTTAAATTCCCATTCCAAGAAACATGAAAGTTTCGAGTTGTAGCTTGTAACCTTATAATTACATAATATAGCTTCTGTGGCTTCTCAAACACATATTTTATTAGTTCTTTTAATTAAAAAAACTTAAGCTTCAATATATTTAAGAGGCGGGTGCTTAATATCTTACCCCTAACAGGGAGAATCCACAGGTCACGAGACAGTCTAATATTTCAGGGGTGGTAGATAGGCTGCATGCAGTCGTAGGACCTAGACTTCATGCAATCGTGACACCTAGGCTGCACTCTCTCGTGGGACGTAGGTGGATTGGGGTTAGGGCCAGTTCTAGATGTTTTGGGGTGGTTATAAGCATCAGATAGCCGGGAAACCCAGTCTTACCACCCTCTAAAAGGTTGGACTGTCATGTGACGCCATTTAGAAGTAGGATATTATTTAAGAACCAAAAGGCGTAAATATTTCATTTTTTTTTTTTTAATAGATTAGCTGGTGTAATTTAATCATTCTTTGTTAATTGAGACGAGAAAGAGAATTCTTAGAAGCTATATAAATCATATTTTGATATACGGAAGTGAATCATGGACAGTTGGTACATTAGTGAAGAACTATTTGGAAGCTGCGGAAATGTGGTTTTATAGACGAATTATGAGAATACCCTGGACAGATAAAAAGAGCAATGATGATGTCTTGAAAGAAACTGACTCACGAAGAGAACTGATTGCCCACATCAGAAAGAGACAATCTACCTTCTTTGGTCATGTGATGAGAAGGAGAAAACTGGAGTACATCGTGACAGTAGGTTACATGGAGGAGAGGAGAGGCAGAGGGAAACCGGGAGAACAGATGATAGACAGTTTGACATCATGGCAAGGAAGATCATCTGTATCATAATCGATTGAAAGTATCCGAGAGAATGTTATGGACAGTCAACGCCACACGTCATAGACTTTAAGAAAAAGAATTTAAAACGGTAGGGGCCTCAGAGATTCATATAGCTTGAGGTTTCTTCAAGTCCAAATCCGGCTCTGTCCGAAGGTCTTGGGTCGAAACCCACAACGAATCGGAATTATTTTCAAAACCGAGATCGGTGCAGCCTAAAATGGGGAACCAGATAATGGATGCAAAAGCAGCCCGTGTGTGATCTTGACCACATCACATCGTGTGCCGATTGATCTGTAAAGATTTCTCTCTTTTTTTCCCCCAGTCCATCCACCAGTGTGTCTGTCTAGTTTGCTGATAACTGTCTAAACTAACAAATAAATAACTGCACATGTTTGTCTGTTTAATTGCTTGTCTACCTGATAGATTGACTATCTGTATTTAAATATGTACGAATAAAGAACACATATGCATAACGCCAATGGCCACAGACAATCCTACATGTCTGTCTTTCTGTTGATTTGACTGCCTAAGCCAGATCTTTTCAACTAAGCTCACTCAGGGGCCAACATTTTCACACTTGAGATTGTACCAGACACTCGAGCTCCAGTATTGCAAGATCATTACTACAGTACAATTGGCAATGATCCGCGGGCTGCTTAATATACATCCGCTGGCCAAATCCCGCCAGTAGCCCTAGACTCTAAGCCATCACAGATAATCCAGGCTTATGACAACACCCCCCCCCCCCACCCACCCACCCCCCCCCCCCAAAAAAAAAAAGCCGTATGGGAAAAACACCATTTTTTTACAGACCAATCGGTCTAGGTGGGTATTCTGGTCAGCACTACACCGGCCATCTTTACTTCCCCAGGACGTACATCCTGGTACTCATTTTAGGCTGGGTCGATTTTCGACGCCACATACTATGATAAAAATTCACGCAGCCAGCAGTGGGTTTCGATCGCGGCACGTTGGAATTACGAGTGAGCCCAAAGTCCATGGTGAATCTATCGGTTTAACTCAACACTTACTTGCTACCCATCTGCCACATTGATGCCTGTCTGTTTGCCTCCTGTCGACTTGACTGCCTAAGCTAGCACAGATAATCCAGATTAATGTAACCAAATGTCCGCAATAAACCTATTTGACTGATACCTGCCTGTATGCCCGTCTGTCTGCCTGCCTGTCTACCACCTGCTCGCCTGTAGATTTAGCTGACCAAATAGAAGAGATAATCCATATTCCTGTAACCACATGTCCACAGGTCAACCTACTGGACGGAAAGCGGAGCCTGAACGTGAGCATCTTCCTCAAACAGTTCAAGTTGAGCCATCAGGAGATCGTGCAGCTGATCCGAGAAGGTCGTTGTGATAAGTTCGGGGCCGAGCGGTTGAAGAGTTTGTTGAAGTTGTTGCCATCTCAGGAGGAGGTGGGTACTCAAGGATGGGTGCTTGGCTAGATGGATGGATCGATGGGTTGGATGGATGGATGGGTGTATAGATGGATGGATGGGTGGGTTCGATGGGTGGGTTCAGTGGGTGGGTAGGTTGGTGGATCGGTAAGTTGGATGGATGGATGGATGGATAGGTGGGTGGATGGATGGGTGAGTTGGATGGATGGATCGATCGATAGGTGGGTAGGTGGATGGATGGATAAATGAATGGATGCATTGGTGGATGGATGGATCGATAGGTGGGTGGGTGGATGGATGGGTGGATGGGTAAGTTAGATGGATGGATTGATAGGTGGGTGGGTGGATGGATGGGTGTTGGATGGATAAATTAATGGATGGATAGATAGGTGCGTAGGTGGATGGATGGGTAGATGAATGGATGGATGGATGGATCGAAAAGTGGGTGGGTGGATGGATGGGTGAGTTGGATGGATGGATGGATAAATGGATCGATAGGTTGGTAGGTGGATGGATGGATGGATAGATGGATGGATGGATAGATGAATGGATGGATGGGTGGGTCGTGGATCCGACTGTAAGTACTGGCGGTTGTAAATGAACGGTGTGTGGATTAATTGATGAATGAGTCAATTCTTCTTTTACATTAGCCCTCAAATGGCGGTTGCTCAGCTGTGGTGCTGTTTAGGCTAGGCCGCGATTTCTGCACCTTACGGCTTAATACATCCTATAGTCATCCTGTTTCTGCACACCCTTAATTAGTCACCTTTTACGATGTCACATGCTGGTTAGAAGGAAACATAAAATTAACCAGAGACAACGTCTGTGGATTGGCTGCTTCAAGGGAGAGGTGTATCACTGTCCTGACCACTCAGACATATTTATGGTCCTGCCACCCCAAAAGTATACATAGCTAAAGAAATAAAAAGTGCACTGCAGGGGGCATCATGGTGTAGAATGAACAGCCTGATGTCACTGTCAGTCTTTATCCCTACTTTATGTTATCAGTGCCAGATATGGACAATGAATAGGGCACAAGAACAGAAAATAACCACACGTGAAATGCCTGGTCTCCGCAAGGTCACAAACAACACAGAAAGAAACAGGGTTACGAATACCAGCATTAGAGAGAAAATTGGAATAAAACCATGTCTGGATTATATTTACAGACAAAGACTGAAATGGTACAGCCATCTAGTGAGACTGCAGCCAGGCCAAACTGCATTTGAGACTTTTTGATAGCAGAACACCTGAGAGGAAGACGAGAGAAAGACCAGGAAAGAGATGGGTAAATGGTGTAGCCGAAACCTGCAAAAAGATGAACAAACCCATCACCCAGGGCATTCGAGAAGCGCAAGACAAGTACACAAAACCACGGCACTGGGCTACAACCTGGCATCAGTGAGACGATATAAGAAGAAGAAGAAGAAGAAGAAGAAGAAGAAGAAGAAGAAGAAGAAGAAGAAGAAGAAGAAGAAGAAGAAGAAGAAGAAAATGTCAAAGTAAATGAATAAAAATCGCCATATCAATATTGACAGCCAACAAAAATATCAACTGTTGTTATCCCGTTTAGAAGAAATATTGTACGCGTACTATTTAAAGTTGTATGTAATATATTCCTATCATGTTTTTCTTTGACACACTTCAGATCGATGCAATCAATGCTTATACCGGAGACAGGGACAAACTGGGAATTGCAGAGAAATTCTTTATTTGTATTATGAAGCTTCCTAAGTAAGTCATACCGTTTTCTCTCTCTTTCTCTCTCTCTCTCTCTCTCTCTCTCTTACTATTTTATCTCTTGCCTCTCTCTGCTTTTCTCTTTTTTTCCTCTCTCTATCTCTCTTGCTATGTCTCCCTGCAACTATCTCTGCATTCTGCATTCTCCTTGTATCTTTCTGTGCCATTCTTTCTTCCTCTGTCAGGTTTCAAGTCTCTCTCTCTCTCTCTCTCTCTCTCTCTCTCTCTCTCTCTGTCTTGAGCACGCTCTCTGTCCTGAGCACGCTCTCGGTCTTGAGCTGTCTCTCTCTGTCTTTCTCTCTGCAACTATCTCTGCGTTCTTTTTGTCTCTCTGTCTCTCAGTGTATCTTTCTTTGCCATTCCCTTTTCCTCTCTCTGTCATGTTTTATCTCTCTCTCTCTCTCTCTACCTCTATTTCACTGTCCCTCCCTCTTTCTTCTCCCCCCCCCCCCCCCCCCCACACCTTTTCTCTTGGTAACAGTTTCTCTACTTTTTCTCCACATTAACTCTGCCCTGATTAATGATTTATCATAGTATGCCAGTTTTATCTCCCCGTGAACCATGAGCTGATTCTTGACTATGATGAGCATTCTCATGTATACATATGATCTGATATTGTTTCTCATGTGAATACTGATATAGGTTTATATAATCACATGTACACAGGCAGCCAAGCAGTGGTGCTTATTCTTGACCTGTGTTTCTATCTCCTCCTCCAGTTACCGCATGAGGATAGAGGGTCTGCTGATGATGGAAGAGTTTAACATCAACATGGAGTGGATCCGACCATCTATAGAGTTTGTTATACAGGCAGCAAGAGGTAAGGCTGAGGGGCTGGGGAGAAATGGGTGCTTTCTTTAGAGGCTGGGTTGTGTGTTAGCAGAGAAATGTTTGTTGTTATTGTTTGTGTTTACCGGCTGTAAACATCGGTGGAAAGACCTGGTTGTTCGTCCATTTCTGGACTTTGATTTTAATCCAGTACCTGAGTTTTGTGTGTGCATCCATTTTTCAGCTCTTGCTCATTTGTGTGCAGACTGCTGGTTTCTTGCCTCTCAGGCTGATGCACTCTGACTTTGAAGGAAGTCCCCAGTTAGTCGACTCTTACGACATGCTTGCTGGAGAGGCTATTATTGTTTTCCCCACAGTGGGGCCCCAGAACCCGCACAGGGATGCAGAGAAATATTATTATAGGAGGGGAAGGTTGTTGTATTAGTCGCAAATCCTGTTTTCCTTTGGGATGCTGTTGTCCTAGGGCAGTGGTCTCCACCCTTTTTCAAGTGTTGCCTCGTGATGTGTCCATCGTTTCGTCCTTTTTAGGATGAAATTTTTTGTTATTTGAAGCCCCACCCTGGCTTTTGCCAGGGACCGCAATATAGGCAGGCCATAAATATGGCCAATTGTCTGAACGTGGTTTCTGGGACATCTCCACAGCGATCCTCACCCACATGGTGTCACTTTGTGTCATCGGGTGTTTGTCACTTGTGTGATGGGGTGGGGTAGAAAGTCAGTCAGTCAGTCAAAGTGTTGCCTCCTTTGAGTATCAAGGTTTGGTGCCCACCTCGAGTGCCGGAGGTCTTGGGTTTTAAGCCTCGGTGACGGCTAGAATTTTTTCTCGTGGACTTCTAGTAATTTGTTGTGACGTAAAAAAATCCCTTGGCAGTTGGAATTTGAAAAGAGTAGCCTAACTGCATGGCTCTGGCAACATTTGGAGTTAAAAGTCTACCCAAAGTATTTCAGAATCCTCGCCCCTGCAACAGAGCCTGTGCTGAGATTCTCAAGACTCAGGCGTGATTTGGGAGTAGAACGGAACACTTATGGGTTGCATGGTTGATCCGTCAAATAAACATAACCCCACACCCCCACCCCCTCCTTCCCCAACATAACCAGATGTAATTAAAAAGAGGACAAAAAGAAAAATTCCAAGTGGCGTTATCAAGAACTTGGAGAAAAACCCCCACATAATTCAAAGTGGATAATAACAACAGAAGCCATCGACAACAACTGGTAATTTAGTGTCGAAATTTCTCTGCTATGATTGACATTTTTTCTTTCTTCATGATATTGTTGATCTGGTGTTGGACAAGGCACAACAAAGAGCACTCTCCACATCAGGCTGGCAATTCTGTTTTGTTTTCATGACTGTGGGTTCCGGGGCCCTGTTACAGGTAAAACAAGAATAGACCCAATGCCTACCCAAAAGCATGTCGCAAGAGTCGACTAATTGGGAGCTTCCTTCCAAGTCCGAGTGCATCTGCCTGAGAGGCAAGGAAGCAGCAGTCTGCATACAAATGAGTCAGATCTGTAAAATGGATGCACACGCAACACTCAGGTTTTGGAATAGGACTGCAGTCCAGAAGTGGATGAACAACCAGAACCTTCTGCCAGAGTTTACACGCGAAGAAGAAGAGGAAGAAAACTGTTGAAGCTCAAAATCTAGATTATTACAAATGCAGTCTATTTCTAAATTGCTTGAAATTCTCCCCTTGAAACTTTCTCAGCCCCAACCTACCTCCCATCCCCACAGGTTGTAGACACCTTTTCTACGGGATGCTGCAGCAGACAGTGCTGTTGTATTGTGAAATGCTGTTGAAGCAATGAATGCTTTGAAATTGAGCTAAAGATAATATATGCTGTTTCAAAGTTTGAGGTTAAGAACAATGGATCAGCAACATGGCACATGGGTAGTAACCCATAAGTGCTCCTTCCTTCTTTTAACTCAAGTCTGAGTCCAAAGAAGCTCAGCATAGTGCACAGGCTCTGTAGCTCTGGCGAGGATCCTGACATACTTTGGGTAGATTTCTAACTCCAAATTTTGCCCGCACAGTGCCATTAGGCTACCCTGTTTTATTTCCAAATGCCAAGGGATTTTTTACGTGCACAACAATACACATGGGTGTCCTATCTCACTACCCAGACACCAGGGGGAATTACTAGAAGTCCAAGTTCATGTGAAAAAATTCCAGCCCTTACCTGCGATTAAACCGAAACCTCTAGCACTCGAGGCAGACACCATGCCTCAAGACCACCCAGCCCCTGTGTTTCAAAGTGAACATGTGTACTGCATGGACTGTCATTAGAGGCATGAGAAAGTCTACAGTGAACAAATTCACTGTTTTATAATATTCTGAGTTCAATATTTTAGTGTGAACAGTTGATGATTCCTTCTCATATCATGATAACCATTGAACATAGTTTTGGTAATGCAGTTTGTGAGTGTTGTTGTCTCTTCTCCCCAGATATCCAGGCCAGTCAATCTTTGAAAGAGCTCATTTATTTAATTCTTATTTCTGGGAACTACCTCAACTCTGTGAGTATCATCATCATCATCGTCGTCGTCATTATCCTCATTGTAATCATTAACATCATTAGAATCATCATAATCATTGCTAACCACTATCAGCACCACTAATGATGCCTTATGTTTTTAATTGCATGTAAAGCTACTAATCTGTTATAACTGCAGTTTCCATCGATGATGAACTGCATTTCTAGTGCTGGACTGTTTGTGTTGGCACTTCTGAAAGCAGGTTTTTATGCAATTAATGTGTCTATTCACTACTGGCTTTGCTGAGACTACAGTATGTGTCAATATGTTTTAAAGGAACAGTGATGGTCAGTCTGTGTGGTTCTCTGAGTTGAGTTGAGTTGATTTAAGAAGCGACATCACAGCATGTGGGGCATTCCCATAAGTACTCTGTCCCCATCCCTAGCAGCCAGTGAAGAGTTCCCATACTAATGATGCCGGTAGCATCCTGATTAAATTTCCGTCTGTCCTTTCCTCTAAGTCTCCAGCATCTGGCAGAACCTCTGGTCACTCCCCTATACATCAATCTCACCAGACTGGTGATCCATCTGCTTATCCGAACTGTACACGCTCTCCCTCAAGGCACTAACCATGTCTGCCTCATCCTTCATCAGTTGTGTAGTTCTCTTTGGCACAGGGTCCAAGCTACTATGGGTGACCCATTTGCTGTGAAGTTGCAACTGTGATTACCCATTTACCACCTCCACCAAAAGCATCACCACCATCACCATCACCATTATCATCATCATTACATTCATCATTATCATCAAAGATTACCTTACACTGGTGGCAGGGAAAAACGCATCTAACAACATAAAATATACAATATGTCTCTCTGTTACACTATAATCTGTGCTTCGCTATACACATTTATTGTGTTTTGGATTGACCACTGTCATAACAGGCCAACAAATTACTTTCTGTTTTCACTGGTTCCATTTCCAGGGAAACTATGCAGGAAACGCTGCAGGTTTCAAGCTGTCCTCATTGTTGAAACTGACAGAAATACGAGCAAATAAACCAGGGATGAATCTCATGCACTACGTAGCCCAAGTAAGTGGTTGGTATTAGTGAACAAAGAATGGTTAGAAACTGGAGCAAATAAAATGGAGATAAATCTCATCCGCTATAGTGCACAGATCAATCAGTGGTACGATAACTGTTAGAAATACAAGCAGATGGATCTGTCATGAACTTTATGCATTACAGGTTAGTTGACTATTCCTCATGTGGGATAAGGGGCCCACATTTGAGAAAAGGAGTGGGGAAGGGGGGGGGGGGGGGCAAGATGGAAAGTGAATAGACAAAATCCCCCCCCCCCCCCCTTTTTCATCCCCCAAAAAAAGCATGTAATAAAATCCAACAAATTAAGGGGTTTGTTTAAATCAGATGTATAGGGTAGAAAGGTGCACTCCCTGTATGGGTTCAGAAGCTCCATTGTGGGGCAAACAAGAGCAGACCCAGTGAATCCTTAACAATCATGTCATAGACCAAATTGGGGGCTTCCTCCAGAGTCTGAGTGTATTTGCCTAGGAGGCAGGGAACCAACATCTGCAAACATGTAAGTCAGATCTGTAAAACAAATGTGCATGCAACACTCAGATTCTGAAACAAGACTAAAGTCCAGAGGTGGACAAACAACGTTGTTTTCCCCAGTAGGGCCTGGGAACCCACTCAGGGAATCTCTGGTATGAACCTCCAGCATTACATGGCTAAATTCAATTGATGGCACCAAAAAAAGGAAAAGAAAACACCAGGAGGAGAGATCACTGTCATATGACAAATAGGTTGCTCAGATGGATAGAGTAAATGGTCAGCATAAGGGCAGGAGGAACAGTGTTTTTTGGTTTGATATATGAAGAATCACTTTCACCTGCTGCAGATCATTCCTCCTGCTCCAGTCTCCTCCCATAGATCATATAAAGAGTAGCCCAGCATGGTGCATAGTACCAGACAGAATCCAAATAGGTATATTTTAGAACTGCATGTTTAAATATTCTTTTAAGTCCATAGATGGATGAAAGAATGGATGGATAGATGGATGGATAAATAGATGGCTGGGTGAATAGACAGACAGACATACAGATGGATAAATGGATGGATTAATGAATGGATGGATGGACAGATGGCTGGATGTTTTTGTGGGTTGTGAGTGGCTTGGATGGAGGGGGGGGGGGACAGATGGATAACTAAGTGGGTGGGTTTTAGATAGCTCAAGTTTTTTTTTTCTTTTTTTCTTTTTGTAGACATAAAATTAATAACCCAGGATTCATGACAGTGTGTATTTATAATACAACACCAAACATAATGACAAACCTAATAACATAAAAATGTTAGTTGCATGACCTTTATGGTACATTGCAGAACAAACCCCAGGACATGTTGGGCTGTTTGTTATTTCTCTGGGCAATTTTATGTTTATTAGTTTGCCATTGATTACTGAATGGTTGGTTCTAGATACCACTGTTGAAACCAAAGGCAGTCTGCTGTCTAACCACTTGCAGCTAGTATTGAACCCGATACCTCAGAGAAACAAAGCGCATCCACAATGCCTGAACCAAAGACATAATACTACATATACATACACTGTAACTGGAGAAATGTTGTTCTTTTAATTACAGGAAGCAGAAGAAAAAAATCCAAAACTTCTGAAGTTTCCACAAGAGATGAAATGTTTAAAAGATGCTGCTCAGTAAGTGTTATTTTTTCCTTTTTACCCTTTGAGTCCCAAGGAACGCATCATACATTCATAGGTTCCTACCTAGAGACCCAATGAACGCAAGATGCACTGATTTTACGCCTCTCGATGACTACCACTTGGGCCTCTGATGCTAAACCTTATGGAACTCAAAGAGTTAGTTAACGTATGTCATCTGAAAAACTTCAGTGAATAAATAGTTGAATAATTCAAAGAAAGTCACATGTGTTGTGTTCAAATTCTGATTAAAGAGTTTTTCAAAATTGACCTTGGCTCCGATGTTGACAAAGTTTAAAAGGGGTAGCAGGTAATATCATGAGAGGATAAAGATGGCTGGCTTATTGTTGATCACTTCACCATTGGTCTAAAAATGATAGGTTTAGCACCATATGCTCAAAGGTGTGAAACGGGTCCTGGTACATTAATTAACCTTGTTGCCCCAAAAAGCTGCAAAACCTTTACTTCCTGATGAAGGGTGCTGCGTGGTCTCGAGGTATGGGGTTTACCTCGAGTGCTAGAGGTCCCAGGTTTAAACCCCTGTGAAGGCTGGGATTTTTTCTGTTCACATGTACTTGTAGTAATATCCCCTGGTCTCTTGGTAGTGAGATCGGACGCCTGTGTGTATTGTTGTGCACATTAAAAAAAATCCCTTGGCAGTTGGAAATCAAAAAGAGTAGCCTAACAGCCCTGCCCAGGCAAAACTTGGGGTTAAAAATCTACCCAAAATATTTTCGGATCCTCACTGGTGTAATGGAGCCCATGCATGGCCCTGAGCTACTTAGGACTCAGACTTGAGTCAGACGTACAACGGAGCACTTATGGGTTACTCCTGATGTTTTTCCGTTTTTCAAACCTCAAACCTCATACTTCCTGATGGGTCTGATTCCCCTTAAATGTTAATTTTCCTACTTTTCTATAGGGATCTGTTTTTTTTAAGGAGATTCATGTTTAATGCTATTGGCTGAGCTTGCACCTGCACACATGTTTAGGATATAAATGTATTAGCTAAAAATTGCATTTGTGGGTTTCTGTGAACTAAATAGTTTTTTAAAAGCCAAGATGACCTTTAATTTTCCTGTAAGCCCCAATGACAGACATCCCAAGGTCATAACCTGAGTCCTCAAATATATGTTTGTTTAGGCCCCAGCAAATGTATTCCATTTAATGCTTCACTCAGTTCATACTTATTGATTACTTCCTTTGTATATATCTGAAAAGAAATGAAATATGTAGATACATTTTTTTTTTTTAATTATTTTTTTTTGTGAATCTGTAAAATTGTTGTCTTTTTAAAGAGATTTTTAAATCAAAATCCCACTGGGTCATGACCCCTTTCTTTATAGAATTCCTAGAGTGATAAGGTTGAGGAGAGACTCCAGGCACAGTGGGCGAGACCTTCCAGGGGAGGTCATTCATTCTAAAACTGTACACTTGTGATGATACAAACAGGGGTATTTAAATTGTTCATGGTAAACTTTGAATACTATCATGTGCTACATCACCTTCACCATGTGCTGCCATTATCATGTTTGCAAGCACTTGGTAATAAAGACAAGCAATGCAAATTTATCTAAACATGAGATCTATTTCAAATTGAATGAAACACATTTGAGAAAATTCAGATCTCCATAAGCTGCGACAAAACTGTAACATTTCCAGATTTAAAAGCATTTTCACATTTTCACAGTATAATACCCGTTATACCTGTTTATCAGACTATAAAGAAACAGATTTCGTTTTTAATTTTTCTGTTTTCATGGGATTGGTACAATGAGCTGGGAATCTGCATGTGTAATCGAGAGATTGAGATAGGAGCAGTAATGCATTTTTTTCCCCATTACCAAAAAGTTGATGATGTGTGAATCTAATCCGTAAATCAGTCAACAACTCAAAATATTCAGTCAATCACGAAAACAATAACTGAGCATATCCATGATTCATAACATCAAATTGAGCAAATCAGTGATTCATACCATTAACAGTTCAGTTAGTAAATCAATTAATTAAATGTCAATCACTCAAACAATGTCATTTAGTCAGTCACAAACTCAGTAAATTGGTCAGTCAGTCAGAATATAAATTAGTCAATAGCAATATTATCAACAAATCAATCCGTTTAGGTATAAAACACACAAAAGTTGATTTATAAATTTGTCATCACAAATAACACTCTTCTGTGTTGAAAAGTTCCAGTCCACAGGTTGGTGCTTTGTTTGTGTATCAGCAATGTGCACCTATGAAAAGGTGCCCCAGACAGCACAACATGTACTCCAAGACTACACCGAATTTAATAAATTAATGCAAACCTTTTGGCCAGAATGAACAACAGTGATTCCACTCTATGGCCCACTGAACATACTAAAAATGACAGTAAAATTTAAATGAAAGACAAAATTGCTGATATAGACAACTTTTTCAACCTAACAAAAAAATAAGAATAATAAGAAGAAGAAGTTTGTGTACAGCTACCAACAACAGCTTGTATCTAAAACCCATCTTCAATGTTGTCTGCGATGTTTTCCCTCTGCCAGAGTGTCTGTGGAGTCTCTAACTACTGACATCAACAACATTGCTGGAAAAGTTAGAGCCATCACAGAGCAGATTGTTTGCGCTGGAGCAGATTTTCAGCAACAGATGGCATTCTTCTTGAAGGTAAACAAATTAAACCTATCTAGTGTCACCACTTGTCGTCCCTTAGTCACCACTTGTCTTTCTAAAGTTACCACTTTCTAAGGTCACCACTTGTCTCCCTAAGATCACCACTTGTCTTTCTAAGGTCACCACTTGTCTTTCTAAGGTCACCACTTCCTAAGGTCACCAATTGACTTAAAGTCACCACTTGACTTTTACAAGTCATCACTTGACTTCCTAAAGTTATCACTTAATTTCTTAAAGTCACCGTGTGCCTTCCTAAAGTCACCACTTGACTTAAAGTCACCACTTGACTTTCTACAGTTTACAGAACAAGAGCACAACATTTGTAACCATTTGGCCAGCCACTCCTCTAGCATAGGATACAGGACCCCTTTCCACACCTTCAGGCCTGTTGGGCATATAGGGCTAGATCTATATTTTATAGACAAGTGGGCACATGGTTGGGGGTGTGGTCAGCATCATACCAGCCGCCTTTATTTTCCAGGACTTTACCTGATACCCCTTTTATGCTGGGTCAACCTGGGAACCAATTTTATTTGTGAACATGTCTGACTCTGTTCAGAATCAAACCCATGACTTTTGGATATGCAGGCGAGCATGTAGCCACTACACCATGACAGCTCCTGTGATAAGGTAGATGTGTTTAAATGGGACTTCAAAACTGTGAAACATTTCCCACGATGTCTGGTCCCTGAATGCCTGTGTCCACTCCTCATGTTGCCTCATGCAGTCAGTCCACTCTTGAATTTAGTGTCATTCTTATGACACCCTGCAGCATCACAACCAAGATACAGGCATTTTTCTTTTAAACCCAACTTCACACCCAGCCATGTCAGTCAGGTACACATGATCCATAACATTATAATTATGACAATCTAAGAAACTGGGGTGACTGCAGTCATGCTAATACCAAGAGATTGATAGGAACTGTGACTGAAAAGCTTGATGTGGATTGAAAATATGTGCAGTGACATGTTGAGAAAGGCCCTGGTGGAAAAATTGATTTGTTTTGTGCTGTTTTGTGCATGTTTTTCTGCATCCCCATTCCATCAAGCTTTTCAGTCACAGTTCCTAATAATTGTGACAAGCAGCTAAAGAAATACATCGACATAATTGGATCATATATTTAAAGCCAACTATTTGACAGACAGACAGGAAGGTAGATGGATAGACAAATAGATGAGCCCCATCCAAAAAAAAAAGACAAATATATAAACAGAAAATGAATAGACAGACACAGAGGTAGGCAGACAAACATAAGAGCAGACAACTGTTACTCTTGTGGTTGTTGTTTAT